TAAGAAGGTTTTAGTAAGTAAAATGTTTTGTTGATCTGTAACCTGCTTGATGTTCTTTGTAATTTCATTAATATCTTCAAAATCCACTTCTTCTTGGTTGTAGATTTTAGCATATTGATCTTTTATATATTTCAAAGTATCATCTTCATTTTGTATTGATGCATTAGGAATTTTTGTTTCAGACAGTGCTGTATGTGTTTTTCTTATTTTGTATCTAACAAAGAAATATTTAGTTGATTTTTCTATTTGCTCAATCCATTTTGCTTTTGAGCATATCTGTCATTTTTCTGCTATATCAGTAAGTTCTTTCTGCAGTTGATAATTTAAATCATCTGCTTGTGCTTGTATGCTGTTATTAGACGGATTGTTTGCTAGTCTTTTATTAAGATCTGTGATTTTTCTGCTAAGTTTCATGATATTGTTTTCAGTTGCCTTAGGCTTTTTGTAAACTCAAATAATTGATTGTAGTTAAATCTTGTAAAGTTTCAATCATTGCTGTTTATTGCTTCTTGTAGTTTTTTTCTTAGATTCTTTTCAAGCAGAGTGTTTAAAAGAGTTTTTTTATCAAATTTCCAAATTGTTGGTTTACTTAAAGTTTGTTAAAAGTTAAAGATACATTTCACTAACTTGTGATCTGAATTACTGTATAAGGTGTTTAGCTTTGTAGCTAAGTGTGAATGATCCTCATTGATAAAGATATAAGTAAGATGAGAGGCCATAGTTCTATTTCCTTGAGTTTTTTGAAAGAAAGTAAGAAGAGGTATGTTTTCTGAGACTAATAAAAGCAAAGTTCTTGAAATGTCTTTTTGAGCTGATGAAATACTAATTTGATCTCTGTCTGGATAAATATTTGTATTAAAGTCTTCTCAAATTATATTTATTGCTTTTGGATTTATTGTTGGAGTTCACTGATTGAAAAAAAGAATTCTGTCAGATTGATTTGGTGGTGCATATACATTTGTGATTTTGAGAGTATAGTTTCTGTATGATGTAGTTGTTGTAATAACTCTTTCATTTTGTTTGATTTTGTTGTCTCTAAATAAGATATTTTTATTTTCTGATAGAATTGTTGCTTTACTTGATCAAATTAAGTTGAAAGGCCATTGTTGTTGCAAAAATTCTTTAGTATCTTTTTGCTAAGGTTTATTTCTTGTAAAAGAATAATGTCTAATTTATATAATTTTAATAATATTAGAGTGTTTCTTTGTTTTTGTTTGTCATTGAGCCTCTTAACATTTAGAGTTGCTGTTATTAATTTTGATTTAGTTATTGTTTAGATAAAGAAGAGATTTGTGTATTTTCAGAGGTCTTATTTCTATTCAGAATTCTAGTTTTCAAATAGAGTTCATCTTCTTCTTGCTTTTTGTAAGAGCTTTTTTTAATTTTTTTTTATTTGTTGGTAACTAAAGTAAATTCTAGTTCTTTTTTCTTAAGGTCAAAGAGAGAGGTAGTTTGGTGTGTAGTCAATTGACTTTCAGCTTGTTGTTGCTGATTAGAAGTAACTAAGTTCTCTTTATTCATATCTGGTAAAACTTCTTGTTGATTTAGAGGTTCATTGTTATCTATTTCTAAATTAGGTTGGTTGCTAGCCCAAGCAAAAGATTCTTTATTGAATTGTGAGATAGTAACTGCAATAACTTCACATTCTTGAGTAGCTAAGTTCTCTTTTTGAAGAGTTGCTTTATTTGGTAGTTTGTTTTGCATGTTGGAAGATTTTAGAACATTGTGTAAAGGTTCTATTACCCTTTTGGTTTTATTCTCTTAATATTTCTTGTATTGTTGTCTGAGTTCAACTGCCTCTTTGAATTGCTCGCAGTCTTTTTTTAGATGTCCTTCCTTGTTACAAAAGAAGCAGACCTTAGGAGCTAACTTCTATTCAGTTGTGACTTTGTTGTCCTATAAGAAGGTGTAGTATAGGATTCTTGCTTCGAGTTCTGGATCATTAGTTGTCTTAAAGATTATGACCCATTGGTCAGTTGTGTAAGAAGTTCCTTCAATAAGAAGTGGTTTAATAGCTGTAATTTTTCTAATGTTTTCAAAGGTCTCCAAAATTGCTTTAGAAACTCATTCTTTATTGTTAAGTAGTACATTTCTGATCTTGACAGGCAGAACTGATTTTCTATTATCTGTAAGAATGAATCCATAATAGGTTTGATTAAAAATTACTATGCCCTTGGTGGCATAGTGTTTGAGTCATTCATTATTAGCAAATGCTAGTTCTAAGTGTGTTCTGTTACCTTTGGCAAAGTGTTGTTTTGCAGCAATTACATCTTGTTCTACGTGTTCATATAGAGAAATTATGATTTCATTAAAGGAATGGTTTAAGCTTCTAATATTAAACACCAAAGTGTTATTATTTTTTGACTTAATAGAATTTCTAAGAGATAAGACAGAATATGTAGACTGCTCTCTTTTTAATTTTGCAAAAAGGCTGGACCATTGCTTTTTGCCTCCTTGGGATGTATCTGTGTTAGCATATGTTTTAACATATGGATTAACACATGTTTTACTGTATACATCAGATTGTGCCTCAATATGTGTTTTTGCATCAGCCATGTGACTTTCTTGTTTATTATCATATGATGCTTCATGTATATATGTCTTTGTTGTTGTTAGTTTGCTGCTTGCTACACTATCTTTTCTAGTAGTTCTAGCTTTTGGGCTTTTGTTATTGTTTTTCTTTGCAGTATTACTTTCTTGTCCTGTTGCCAAAATAGCACCTCTATTTAGTTCTTGCTCTACTTGTTCATCCCAGTTTGCACTGTTGTTCAAAAGAAAACTTGTCTTGTATTCCATGTTTTGCTTATTTAGAAAGAAGTTTGTTTTGAGTAAAACTCTTTTGTGTTTTTGAAGATTAAATGGTATAAGTCTACATTTCTTAGAAACAAGAGCCTTTGCTCTAGTTTTAATAAAAAATAAAGGGTCTTTGCTTTCTTTGTTAGTTGTTATTTTGTTAATAATAAAAATCCTGTTCAAATCAGTGATAAATAGAAAAGAGTTTTTTTTTAACTTAAAGTTTTTAGATTTATCAAATTATAAATGATAAACTTGAAAGTCCAACTTTATTTATTTTATTTTTTTGGTATTAAGATGACCTCTTGGGTCTTTTGACTTTATTTAACAATAGTAAATATGGTTTAGTGAACCATTACAGAAAGAGCATACAATTGGCTATATGTGTAACTTTTTTATATTATCTATTTAAAAAGTCCATCTAAAGGTTTCCTATCAATTGTTATACCTAATACTCCTGCTTGGATATTTTATTTTAAACTTTCTAAATCTGCAAACCTATTAACTTCACTAGGCCATACCTAATGCTTAAATCATAATCATAATCTTAAGACTATTTTATTTTTGAGGTAAACTCTTCAGAGCCTTCTGTACTTATTTTTACAGCTGTCTTGGATATTACTATGACAGAACTAATACTTGCAGTTAGAGCTTAACTATTAAACTGTTATGCTTATATAGAGTTTATTTAGATCCTAGCATCTACTTTATAGCATAATCTTAGTATTTTAGTATACCTCTGCCTTTTTACCTACCTTTTTATTAAACTTCTAATCCAAATAGTCTATGTAGGACTATGAACAGTCTATCAGTATATCAGGTTGGCCTAATATCCTTTTCTTCTGGTTTGTTTTAGCAGCCTAGTTGGTGGTATTTCTAAGACTCTCAACCTAAAGGTTCTTGCCTGTCTGACTATTACAACCAGGTACTATAATCTTCATATCTGTTTTTCAGGCTAGTCTTTGCAATAGGGCCATTAATGATCTAGCTATTTCTACTCAAATCTTCTCAAATAAACTTCTTGTTACTTAATTTTAACAGATTTATATAATTACAAGGACTTATCTAATGTTTGCATTATCCAAATTGTCAGTTTGCATTCTTTTGTGTAATGCCATACTTATACTAATGTTCCATAATCTGCCATTAATGCTAGTGAAACTGTCATTGTAAGTATTCTGACCCAATTGTTAGTAACAGATGCTATAATATAAATATTACATAGGTGATTATTCAAACTTTTATTATTAATGAGATTTGAACATCCAACCTACCACTTGAAAGGTTGACAACCTGACCACTTCACTAGGTCACCATACTCTGTTTAACTTTATTTTTCTTAGTAACAATACTCATAATATAAAAATAATAAATTATAATAATATACAAAAAATATTCTATTTATAAATACAACTTATTCTTGTTATAGTGAACTCTTATTATATTATATGCATTTTACTATATCAAGTTGAAGTTTAATACTTTTAAAATTTAAACTTCTTTACATATCAAATCTTTATTATTCTCTTGATATAAGCTATAGTGAAGATTTTTTTTCTGATTCCAGAGCTTCACTATAATAAGAATAAGTTGTATATATTTATTAACTATAAAAATTAAACATTTACAAATAGTAAAATTATTGTTTCAAAATTCTAATAAAATTTATTATAGTATGCAAATTTTTGTATAATATGCTATAATAATTATACAATATATTAAAACTATTAATAAAATACAGAATAATACTATAAATATATTAAAAATGCATTGGAACATACTACTTTTTTTAAAACAATAGAAATAAGAAGAGGGTACTTGTAATATCAAAATGAAATTAAAATTTAATATTTTTCTTAATATAAAGATATTGAGATTTATAGGCTTAATTAGAATCTGATTTTTGGTTAAAGTATAATAACCAATTTTCATAATTAAGAATTTCAAAAATTGCAAACTTTTTGTTTATGTCTTTGCTACTGTCTTTTATCATTTTTTTAAAAAATGTAAATACATGGTTATAGTTTTTTTTTTAACAGCAGTTATGAAAATGCTGCCAAGCTAAAATGCTTATGTTGTTCTATAAATTTTGATAAATAATTACTTAAAATATGTATATATGATATAACATACTTAGAACAATATAAACCTTTTTTAAAAGATGTAATATTTGGTTTCTCTTAGTAAGATATGAGGAATAAGTTAAGCTATTGTCTTGTCTTGGTAGTGAAAAAAGTTGAATCAGTTTCTTGAAAATTTATAAACTGTAAAGTAAATGAAAGTTTTCTACAGATAGTTAATTAATATAGCTCTTTTTTTGCTAAAAATAATTTTAAAATTAAAATTGCACAAAACCTTTTTTTTGTCATCTCTTATAAGAGATATGTAGAACCAACTTTGCATACTATAATTTTGCCAAAATTGAAAGCTAACCAAAATTTTTTTCATTTCTGTGCTTATAATTGCCTTAGTATAATTATTGTATCTATTTTTAGATTTTAATTCTTGGATCATTAACTTTTAAAGCCAATTTCAAATTCTTAACATTATATAAAGTTTATTGATAGCATAATGATATTATTAGAAGAAAAGAAGGTTTAAGATATTTAAGTAGTAGTAAATTTAAAATTAAAATATAATTTTTAAAGAATTCTTCTTTAAGTTGATTTATATTTTTTTCAATCCTATATATTTTGTTTTTATTACTTATATCTTTCTTTATGCATAAGCACTAAGAACAAAAACAGTTAGCATTAGGCACATTAAATTCTAATATAATATTTATGAATTTCTAATTACTGCTGAAATATAAATTGATCTTCTATTTAATTTCATTAAAATCTTTTAATCCTTTTACTATTAAGTTATATAGTTCACTAATTAATAGTTTTATTACTTGATGTAACATCTTGTAGTTTTTGTTTTTTGAATATAAAATTATGAAATAATGTAAGCTAAGCTTGTAAATATTTGAAATATCATCTAAAATAATACATATCATTATAACATGCTTAATTTTTCTATTAATATTGTAACTATCTTCTAATATTTGGAATAGTAGAAAAACAATTTAAATATTTTTATTTACAATAGGTTCATCTTACTTTACTAACAATTATTTCACTAACAGTTCATTTAGCCAATATCATATTAAATGACAATTTACTAAATATATACTTCCTATAATGTTAAGCTAAATGAGCTGTCAGTAAAATAAATATCAATAAACTAAGTTATATCAGTTTTAGTTTTTTTTTGAGTTTTTTTAAAAATATTCACTATTCTATCTGATAAATAAATATAAATTACTAGATTCTTTATATTAAAAATATTTGTTTTAATAAGACTTAAAATGATAAAGAGCAAAATGTCTGTAATTCATCTGTATCTAACTTTTTTAATATATTAAAACATCTCTTTTTTAATGTTTGATCATTAGTATAAAGCATTTCATTAGTTGTTATAAGAAATATATTTTTAATATTTAAAACAGTAATAGAAATTTTTTTTATTCATTTTTTTTATTTATTTTTTTTCTTGTATCTGAAATATTATAATCTTGTAATAATTTGGTTGAAGTATAGCTAAATCTTGATAAGAAATTAGATCTTGGTTAATAACTTTTTAAATGTATCAAAAAAGTTATTTTTTTTATTATGATAATTGGTCAAGTAATTCTTATCTTGAACATAGAATCTAACTTCTTGTAAAATTGGTCAATTAATTAGATTAAAAAGTTAGAAATCTTATTTTTAAAGACATCATCTAATTTTTTAGAGAATGCATAAGAATGTTTTGTTTTCATAAATTTATTCAATATATTAAATAGTTTAAAATAAGATAATTAATTTTTTCTTTCATATTTTCTTTCTATATTTGAAACATTAAAACAAAATATATACAGTATATATCAGATATTTTTATATATATATTATTTGAATTTTTTTTCTATACAGAAATAAAAAAATAAAAAAAAATAAAATTAGATTAAATATTTATAATAAAAATTTTTATTAGAATTTGAACAGGCTTGTAAATAATTATTAGCAGCATTACTTGAAGATTCTTTAGATTCTATAATATGTTGTTGAGAATCTTTTTGAAATCTAATTTTAAAAATTAGTCTAATTAACTTGTATTTAATTTTATATTCTATTATATGTTTTGATTTTCCTCTTTTTTAACTAGTTTGAACTAAATAGTTATCTAAAATTTTATATTGATTTCTATTATGAGAATGTGCTGAAATATAGCATAGTTCATTTATTAGTAGATAAAATTTTTTATTAATAATAATATTTGTAAATAGTATTATTTTGTTTAACTGAAAAAAAAGTTACTTTTAGAATATTTTTCTTGATTAAGAAGAAACATCATAATAAAAATAAAAAAAATTTGCATTTAGATATAAAATATGAAAATGTAATATAATTTATAGATCTAAATGATACAAAAAAGTTAAAGTTTAAGGTTTGTATAAGCTAGTTTAAATTACAACTTCCAAAATGCATAACAGGTTAATTAACAAAATTAAATAAAATTTTTTTATATCTCAAAATTTTGCTCATGAAACTGCTCTTGGTGCTTTCAGTAATGTTTCAAAAAATGCAATCAATTAATTTATCAAAAAATTTTTTAAAAATTAATTATAATTGATTAATTAATTATATAATTAATTAATTTCTTAAAATCTAAATTCTCTTAATTGGTAATTCGTTTAAGATCAGCAATAATCATGTAATAAGCAATATTAAAATTGTGTATAATCATTCTATAATTTTAACATATATGCTTGCATCTAAAATACTTTAATAAATAGCCAAAAAAACACATCAAGCACAAGTTACTTTGTTAGAAGTAGGTGCTTTAGATGAAAACTTACATTACAGGCCTTACTCTCATTATTGGTAAAAAAAAATATTTTTGATCAAAAGAACAATACATATTTTTTATTCATATTAGACAAAAAACTGAAGTTATTCTTAACAGTTATAATTTTATTGTAACTTTGTAGTTGGTTATTCTAATAATCTGAGTTTTTCTGATATATATGCCAAAGTAACACTTTTCAAACTCAAACTCCAGTTGACAATCCTAGTACCACTGTTTTTTTTGTATATAATAATATTTTCAATAATAAAACTTGATATTCTGGTCTACTTATTGTTGAATAGACAGATTATAATATTATTACACAACTGTTAAATAATGTTCTTTTTATACTTTTTTTTTTTGACCTTGATAAATATAAAATTTTTATTTTTGGAATTAGATCATTATTGTAACAAGATTGGAATAATGGTAAGTTAGGTTATCAGTTGTCTTTAATTCATTACTATAGTAAAAAACAGTGATTATTTGTTTTATACTTAGAAGATGATCACTGTAAAATTGAGGTTTATCAAGAATGTCAACTAAAAAAAACAATAGAAGAGGCATCCCTAAATAACATTTGGCAATCTTTTGGTATTAATAAATACAATGATATTTAGCTTTTTGGTCTCAATCATATTATGACTAAACAATTAATTAAACAGCATCAAATTCCAACTTGCATGCCCAATCAATAGGATGATATTACAATTATGAATACACTTTTCAAGTATCATGTTAAACAAAGAACATTATCTAATATTGACTGGCATAACCTTTTTATTATATGGTTAGTTCAAGAAAGTAACATTATTAAAATAAATTCTATACTTATTGCATTATATCCACGACATCATCAGTTTAATGATTGAGAAATAAATGCATGGCATTCAATGTTTAGAGCTGCTGGCACTCATAATATAACACCTTGGTTTTGTGAAGAATCAAAAGTATAATAATATATAAAAAATAAAATTTCTAATTAGGATTAAAAATTAATAAATGTTATTTTATTAGTGTCAATTATGAACAAAATCAAATTAACCAAATAATGGTTCTGCAATACTTAAACAACTCTATCAGCTAGGATTTTTAACAAGTATACCCTTATATATGCTAAATGCAATATATTTTACCTATAATGAATTAGAATCAAATTTAGGAGTATGTTTTATATTAGTAAATCCAACTTATAAAGTCATGTATATAAACCAAATTACTTAATTTTAGGTTGGTTATTATACTATTTCTGAAGTATATAAATATGCAAATTTATATGGCCATGGTGCACTTCTACTTTCAAAACCTATTATTTATTGTGTAAAACTATCTGAAAAGCAGCTAAATCAGTTTGAGTTATTTTTTTCAGATAAAGAACATGTTAATATGTCATCATACAAAACTGAAACATCAACTGGCTTATCACTTTTGTATCTTCAAAATTATAAAAAAGCCTTATAGAAAAAGTTTCATGAAAAATATCCAAACAGAATGCATTATACATTATTTATGTCTTGTTTAAAAGATAGTCAATATATATATAAAGATAATCTTGATAGTATATGTTCTACTTGTAATGAATACAGATATGAAATATTTGATGAAATTGAAAATATTTTAAAATTACATATTAGTGATACTTGTTTTCAGGTATATATAATAAATTATACTATTGACTACTTCATACAGTAACTTCTAAATAAGCTTTTTATAATTTATTATTTTTGAATAATTAAAAATATAACTAGACTAGTGTATTATTTATTATTTTTGAATAAAATTAATATATAAATCATCTAGGCTGATCTTGTGATATGTCATCCTACTGTATATTCACATGACTTTTACTACAAATTATCATTATCGCTTTTTTTCTATTGTATTATTGGCTATTGTAAACTTTGTCACTTTTACATTTGTTTTAATTAAAGCTTTTGCTTTTTTTCTTTTAATCAAACTAATACATTACAAGAGTAATAAGCATACAAAGTTACCCATCATAAGTTGCCTATGCAAGAAGTTCACAGCCAAAGAACATTGTCATTACCTACTACAAGACGTTGAGATTGCCCACCACCAGACATTGCTTACTACCAGACACTGCTCACCACCAAACATTGTTGACAGTAAGTGTCATATTATACTTAGTAATTATATTATATGCATTTTATACTTACCTAAACCTTTTAGATGAGCCAAAGTGATGTTGATAAAAATTATATTGAAATTGATAGTCAAGAAGAGGCTTCAAGTAACCTTTTTTCCTAGCAAGTATATATCAATAATTTTTACTATAATGTTTATTATTTTATATGCCTTATACTTACCAAGCTTTTAGTCAAGCCAAAATGAAGTTAATAAAGTTGCTAGTATAGAAACTCCTGATGATCTTTTTTCTTAACAAATGCCTGCTATTTCAATTACCCATAATGGAATATCCAAGAGGCGTCCATATGAAACATTATCAATACCTAGTACCACTTTTGAACAAGCATTAAACTTATATATTGGGTTACAATTTGATTACTTGGAACATGTATATTTAGTCTTATTAGCATATAGACAAAAGATGGGTTTTGCATAGTGAATTCAGGATAGAAAGCTTGACAAAAATGAAGGAGTTTATAAGTATATATTTGAATGTCAGCATGCAGGAAGCCCTCAAGCTAAAAAAAAGGCAATTGAACCCTCACAACAGCACAATCAAAAGTCTATAAAGACGAATTGCATATGCTTTATTAATATTTGTTAGTCATTAAGTTCATCAGGTCCATTAATTACTAAATTAAATCTTATCTACTATGGTCATACACCTTGTTCTAATAATGCATACTTTATTAATACATATCAGCAGCTCCCTCAAAATATAATTGATAAGGTTGAATTTTATATAAATACAGTTCTTGGCATTAGTCAGCATATATTAAGGCAACGTTTAGAAGGCGAATTTAAGGATCAATTGTTTTTAGACAAAGATTTAACTAATGTGATTCAACAATTTCGAAAGGGTGACATAATGGATCCAGAACAAGATCTTGAAAATGATGCATCTAACCTTTTAAAGATATTAAGAATATTAAAAGAAAATGATTCTATATTGTTTATAGCAGATTACTGTATTAAAAACTACCTTTATTATTTATTTTGGATGACTCCTTCTCAATAAAATTTTTACTTAAAGTATAATGATGTAATCTTAACAGACAATACAGCAAGAACAAATAAATATAGATTAGCATTGTGTTTATTTGTTGGAGTTAATGAGCACTGATGTTCAAGATTATTAGCATAGGCATTGATGTTTGATGAAACAACTTCATTATGCAACTAGGTCCTTAATAATCTTATGATAGTGACAGATAATTCATCTCCATTAACTATTTTTTCTGACTGTGATACTGGATTAGGACCTGCAATTAAAACCACCCTTCCAACTACATAATATTTACATTGTGTTTTCCATATTGTTCAAAATATTAAAAAACAATTAACACGTTCTCTTGGCTCCCGATACCTTGAATTTCAGGCTGATTTTTTAGCCTGCCGAAAAATGTTATTTGAAGAAATTTTTGAAATACGATTTGAATTGTTATGCACCAAATATACTGAAGCATCCTCATATTTGAAAAACAATCTATATCCTATTAAAGAATGATAGGCCAAATGTTTTACTTTTTAGGTAAAAATCATGAGGCAGTTAGAGGTTAAGGTTAGTTAAATATTAAGTTAGCGTTAGAAGTTAAGTTAGTGTTAGTTTGAGGTTAAGTTAGTGTTAGTTTGAGATTAAGTTAGGGTTAGTTTGAGATTAAGTTAGAGTTAGCTAAATGTTAAGTTAGAGTTAGTTAAAGGTTTGGATTTATGATTTATTTTAATTTTTTTTTTACATTTTTGTTCTTAGGAGTTTAATGCTAGAATGTCATCGACTCAACGAGTAGAATCGATCAATGTAATAGTTCACAAATATGTTAATTCATATTCAAATTTGAAAGAATTTTTTAATGAAATGCAGAATATGTTAGTCTCTAAACTTCAAAAGGCCAAATATCAGAATTATTTAGAAAGTTTACCCTATAGTGTTGGGTCTTTAGCATTAAGCTGAGTTTTTTCAAAATTTGTAGAATATTTGAAGTCAGTTTTGACAAATGAAATATTTCAGATTCAAAAAGCTCAAATTGATATTTGTTTTGAATACAATTCATTACTAATTCCATTTGAACAGTTTTCTATACATAATAATATAAGATTAATTTTTTTCTTTAAGATACGTATAAGTGTTATAATGCTCTAATTCTTATCTTAGGTTGATGCTGTTGATACCATTGCTTGTATTGAAGATCACTCAGATAGAAGACAAGTTGCTCTTAAATCTCTTATCAAGCGTGTTAACCCTAATAATATAATTGGAATTTGGGAAGTCAAGCATATGGGGGCTGATACTATTTCGATGAACTGTATTGTATTGCTTAAGGATCAATCGCATGTTTGTACATGCTTGCTCTTATTTAGTGAGGGACTTGTATGTTACCACTTCTTTCAGGTTATGTTAAAAACACAAAAAGCGAAATTCACTATTGCTTTAATAAAAAGTAGATGGTATAAGAATGATGTTGATTTACTTAAAGTTAATACTTTATTTGATAATTGTAATGTATTAAGCTCTGAGAAATTTTTTATAACTGATGATGTACAAACTTCATTTTCAACCATGAATATGATTCGAGATCTTAGAAAGGATGATTTAGGTAGTGATTATAAAGAAATTGAATACAAAATTTTAAAGCAACAAATTTATGATGAATATGTGGCATTGGAATGGAAGTTAGCAGCATTGGCATCTGAGTTTAGTTTGACTCATATTTCTGCAACTTTGAGGGGCCTAATTCAACAAGTAGAACAGGCTAATAGTAGTTCATTAAATAGCCTGAATTCTAATACAATTCAAAATCCATTTTAAGTTAATGCTCGTGGAAGACCTGTTAAAAGAATTAAATCTTCTATAAAAACTAATGTTGCACAACATTCTCAAAATAAAACTGCAAACACTAAGACTCATTTGGAAGACACATATACTTGTCAGAATTGTTTCAAGAATGGTCACAATGCAAGAAGCTTTGTAGCACCATGTGGAACTTGTAATAAAAATGGTCATACTTATTTAAACTGTCCAAATAAGGAGAATGTTTAATTTATAATACTTGTTATTTGCTAATATTAATGTTTACTAATCATTGTGAAAACAAATTTATTGGATTCTATTGCATTAACTAATTATCATGAAGTTTATTTAATGTATTCATATTAATATGCGCTTATATAATTATTTATTTGCAACATATAAGTACCATTATTAAATAAAATTTTAGAATATTACTTTAGATAATTTAGTGATAAAGTATAGTATAAGTAACCTCTTCTATTTGACATACTAGATGTGACGAATCATGAACATGACAAATAATAGAAAGCTAATAAACTGTTATAAATTAGTTAGTTTTTATTAGTTGTCTATTAATTATCACATCAATAATTCGTCACACTCTATACAGTAAAACAAGTATAGTCACATAATATTCCAGCAATATAACTAGGGATGGTATTTAGTAATAACATCTAGGATGGTATATAGAATTGCTCTATATTAAATATTAATTAAATATTAAATCAAATATATAATTTATTTAATTTATAAACTTAATTTGTATATCAATATACTATTATTAATAAATTTAATATAATAATTAATGAATTAATTAAGTTAATTAAAGAATATATATACTTTTAGATTAATTCAAAATTTAATTATAAATAAGTTTTAAATAATTTAATTTGGTTCTAAACTGACTCAAGCTGGTTTAAATAGCTTGGCTCAAACGCCAGCTTGAGCTGGCTTAAATTTAAGCCATTCCTATCCTTAATTTTTGTATCTTCTTTAGTTTTTAAGTTTGTTACTCTATCTGTATATATTATATACTTGTTTCTGTTCTTTGTTATATTTTTTCTTAAAACTTCTATTATTTTTTAACTAATATTATTTTTTAACTTTTGTCATTTAATCATCTTTATCTCTAGATCTTCTATTATTCTTAGTCACTTAAGTTTTTGTTTTCTAATTACTAGGTTGTTTCTTTTTATTGTTTCTGTTATTTGTCTATTGCTATTTTGATCTTGTTATTGCTTTTGTTTATTAATATATCTGGAATTATATTAATTCTATTGTTTATTCTTATTTACTGCTGACAGCTATTTTCTAAAAGTTTTTTTTTTTTTATATAACCCTTATATTTATTAATTCAACAGGTAGTTTACTTTTTTTACTTTGTATTTGCCAATGTTTTACTAATATATATATATATTTTTTAACTATCTTTTCTAACTATTGATGATTTTATGCTCTGTATACTATTTATTTTTTATTTTTTTATTTTCTGAAATATACTCTTATCTCATTTGCATTGTTTGGATGTTTTGCTTATTTGTTCAAAAATGTCTTTTGATCTCTCATCTTTCTGATCTACTAAATACTTTTAGTTCTATTGCTTTAAACCACTTTGTTTTTTTTTCTTTACTTAATAGATCTTAATAACTTTTAATTATTGTTATGTAATTAATATTTCTTTTTTTGTATTAAGCAATTAATTTAGATATATTAAATTAGCTTCATTTATTTTGATTCTACTTCTTTTTTATAATTATATATTTATAAGTTCTTTTACTTTGGTTTTATACCCAAGCATTGTTTATAAATTTTCATTCATTCTTATATTTATATTAAACTTTCTTGTCTTTAGTAATATTAGACAAGCTAAGTTACTTTTTTAACCTTCTATATTTTCTGATATCTTTTTTATTTTCTATATATCTTCTGTTAAATTTGCTTTCCGGTAGCCTTATGTTATTCTTAATTTTGTTAACTATTCAAGACTGTCTTGTTTGTTTAGTTTTACTAATAAGTCACTTATCTGTTTTATTACTAATTTTTGTTATAATGTTTTATAGCTTTTAAGATCTTTATGTTCTATTATGCAATTTTCTAATATTCTTTGCAGATTGCTTTTTTGTTTTATCAAGCTTATTATTAGTTGATGTATTTTACTTATATTTCTTTCTGATATTTTTGTTAACTATAACATATAACTTAATTTTAGTATTATTATTATATTGTTTATATATGCAATTTGACTTATTGTTATTTTTTTGTATTTGAGATCTCTTATTGTTTGGCTAATTATTTCTTTAGCTTTTTTCTTTATTAGCACTTTATTTATTCTGTTGTTTAGCTATATTTCTAGTGAGCAGACTATCATGTTCTTTGTTTCTTTTATTATTTTGCTTTTTTTAAAGATTTCTTTTCTTTCTTTACTTTTGTATTCATTATTAGCAGCTTTAATTTGAATCTATTTATTTCTATATCATTTATCCTAAAGAATTTTTCTGTTATCTTTAAAATTTCTATTAGCTGTTCTTTACTATTTGCAATCCACATTGTATTATCTGTATATGCAATATCTGCTTGATAGTACTTTGTAATATTACTGATTTGCATATCTCTTTTGATTTGCTGTTCTACTATATAACTTAAGCCTCATCTTCTTGTATTTTCTTTAATAATGGATCATAAAAAAGCTATCATATTAATAAAAATATTACTTCATCTTGATCTATACCTTTTTCTACTATAATTTCTTCTATTAAACCATAAGCTATAATAATTTTTAGTTACTTTTTATAAAACAAGTTCAAGATGTATTTCATTGTTTTTTTAAATACTTTAATTCTTTACAGTACTAATTTTAAACTCTCAAGTAGAACTAAGTCAAATGCCTTTTTTATATCTTGTAGGAGTATCTATACTTCTTTACCCTTCTCTTTTGTTTCTTC